CGGTTCCATCCTGCACTGACACCACTTCTGTCTTCTCAGGTCATCAGGCTATCAGGCCTGTGTTGCTCTAGGATATTTAATTCAGATACTGATAATATTGGTCTCTCCCCACTTCTAAATTAATTCCTCAATGCTTTTTGATTTCAACTTGCTTTTTAAAGTTACGTTTACTGTTGGCCCTGTAAATATTACTTCCCATTCCATCCACTCTGTCCTCTTTGTAAAAGTTTCAGAATTAAGCTGTTCTACAGCCAGCTGGTATATACACAACACACACAATTATTTACCGGGGCTTCTTAATACCAAAAGAAAAATGAGAAGAGAAGAAAGTTCCCCTAAAAAGACCACAATCAGGAACTGAATGCAATGCAAGAACCTTATCAGGTTATTATAGTGTGTATTCTAATGCAAATCTCACACTACAGACAAATTAATTCTTTTTATTAAAGCTAATATTAAAATTATTTAATACACAGGTTAAGGAAAGAGTGTCTTATGATCTTAATCCATTAGCTACCCAGACACCCATATCCACTAGTTTGCCTAATGTATTTTCTCTTATCATTTTAAAAATCCTATGACCGTGAAATTGACCAAAATGGGCTGTGAATTTGATAGATCCCTAAGCAAAGTCAACACTCATGAAATAAGAGATCATTTGACATCACCCCATACTCTTGCCTCCCATATCTTCCCGGGTTGCAAATATATGTAGATGTACCCTAACGCACAAGTTCTACAGAGCTGCAGATACATCGCTATAGTATAGACACTTGCTACAGCGACAGAATGTTTTTTTCCACCACTATAGTAAATCCACCCCCTTGAGAGACATCACCTAGGTCATTGGAAGAATTCTTAAGTTGACCTAGCAGTGTCGATACCGGGGCTTAGGTCGGCTTAACTACGTGACCTCCGTGATTTATGCAGGGGCCAGCGTGACTGACCCCAAGGCCGCCCCAGCAGCTGACTCCAGGGCAGCTACTCACGTGGCCCCGGGACAGCCACACCAGACGCTGCTCTGGTGGCCCCCAGCCGGAGCAGCCATGGTCCGCAGCCCTTGGCAGCTGTTGCCACTGGGCCCGGGTGCCCCCCCATGCCCAGCCCCCAGAGCACTCCCCCCGCCCAGGTCCCCGCAAGATTTAATCACAGGTGTTTTTAGTATAAGTCATGGACAAGTCATGGGCTGTGAATTTTTGTTTATTGCCCATGACCTGTCCATGACTTTTACTAAAAATACCGGTGAATAAATCATAACTTTATCTATGAGTGATGTAGCTAGATCAACCTAATTTTTAGGTGTAGATGAGGCCTTAGAAACAACAAAAGTCAAGCTCCTGAGAGCTTAGAATTGATTGTGTGTTGTGTGGTGAAAAAATAATCCATAATAAATAATAATAATAATAATAATAATAATGTTATCCCCCATTGTTCCATACATGGTGTCTGTCCTCTTAGCTATTTTATTCCCTTTGGTAACTTATTTTCTGAATTAGTCATTGGATAAACACTTTCATGCCACATTACATAAAGTATACTTGAATCCAGATTTCTTTCACTCTTGCAGCGATGAGAACGAACAAACAAACAAACAAACAAAGCAGGACTGAATGCTGAAAGCACAGCAGTGCTATGAATTGCAGTTCATGCAACAATATGTACATTCCTCTCTTCCACTTAACTAAGTTTGGCTGCAACAGGATGTACTCAATGACAGCACATACTCTGAATCAACAGCCTTATGTCAATAAACTAGTTTATTAACCCACCAGCATAAATTCCGTTTTAAAGCCTTCTTAACCCAACAAGAATAAACATGTATAAGGGAGTCTCTTCGTGAGTCATTTTCATTTAAAATTAATGTCTCAATATTACTGGCGAAAGAATAAAAGTTCCTATAATGCAACGAAACAAAACCAAAAAAAGGAAGCAGGAAACCCAGCTTTACACTTAGTTTACACTCATAGGACGGAAGGGATTTTTAAAACCCTTGCACACGTCTAACAAAACACTTACAGCACCTTAAAATAATTAACAAAAACATCCAAGAACAGCCTGTGAGATGGGTGTTTACACAGAGGGGAAACTGAGCCACGGAAGGCTGGATTACTGCTGGCTGTTACACTGAAGTGAGTCACCCGGCTCTGGCACCAGTATTTAAACTGAGAGCAGCCCTGGGCTCATGGCAAAGTGAAGTGAGGTGCCCGAGGACACAGAGCCAGTCAGTGGCAGAGGCTGGGGTAGCGCAGAGTTCTGGGCTCCCAGTTGCCCCTCAGCCTTGTCACACGCAGCCCCCGGCTTGCTCAGGGCACAGCGGGCAAGAGAACCGCTAAGGGTGTCTTGGAGGAGCCCCAAACCCAGCCCGTCCCCAGCCGCCCCCCGAGGTCAGCCAGCACTGGCCGAGTTACCGTTTGTTGGCGGGGCACAGCACAGACTTAGTCCCTCCCGCCCAGGCAGGCGCGGGGCTGCCCGGCGGCACTGACCTGAGCGGCCCGGTTCCCCTCGGCGTGGCGCCCCGGGGCGCGCGCTCTGCCCCGACCGGCGCAGCTGTGCGGGCGCTGTGCTTGTTCTCCGGGCTGGAGGAGACGCACGCGCGCGCGCAGCGGCCACCCCTGGCCGCGCACTGGCCCCTGCGCCCCGCTGCCTAGGGCGAGTGGAGTCCGGCTGCCCGAGTCCGAGCTCCAGCGCCATTGGTTCTGGGGACGGGACCGGCAGGCAGCTATTGTTCCCACGTGATTTGGAGTGGAAGCGGGGGGAGAGAGGGGAGGGCAGTGCGGGGCACTGGCTCGGCGGCGTTGCCTCGGGGCAGGTGTTCCCCGGGGCGCTGGCACACGGGAGAAGGGGCTCAAAACAGCCCCGGGGTCACTGGCTGCACACGGGGGCAGTTGTAGCAACACTTGCAGGACCCAAGGGGAGACCCGGGCGGTTGGCGTTTCTTTGCCGGTTAGATCTTTCCCGCTCAGTAGCTACATTCGGGTGCAAACTTTCCACGCTTCTCACTACAAAGTATTTGGTTTAACAGGCTTTCATGGGTGCAGTAAAATGCCAACACGTAGGTCTCGTCTACACCCAGAGTTGTACCTCTCTAGTGGTATAGTTAACGCGGTGCAAGCCCCTTAGCGTGGCTGCAGTTGTACTGGTCTAAAAGTGAAAACAGTGGTGTAGCTTACCTCCAGACAGGAAGGGTAATAAATACATCAAGGTAAGCACTTTTAGACTGGTTATAATTGCATCCATGCTGGAGGTTGTACCAGTATAAATATAAAATATCACCCCCAACCAAAATAGTTATACCAGGGTTTGGTTACAAAGGGATGGCAGGAATCAGGACATACTCTGAGCTCTGCTATTGACTTGTGTGTGACAATGGACAAGTTGTGATCATTGCTACTCTGTGCCTCAGTTTCCTTGTCTCTAAAATGGAATCATTAAGACTTTCTCTACCTCTCAGCAGTGTGTTGAGCCTTAACTCATTAAAATTGGTAAAGTCTATCTCGGTATCTAAATGGGCTTTCTTACTAGTGCCTTGGGTCCTGATTCTGTAATAAGCTCTGTAGCCCTCTCTTTGCAGGATCAGAGCCTCAGTGATTTGAGCCTTTGAGTGGAAGGTGATGCAGAAATGCACTGTATGGAAAAGATTTTCAAAAGCACAAATGGCTGTTTAGCACCCAATTCTCCACTGCTATTTGTGCCTTTGCAAATATCCCCATTACATTATTGCTGAAATGGAATAATAAATTTAAAAATTTGGCAGAACAGTGTTATCAAACAAATATTTGTTGAGACTGATATTTCTTGTTGCAATACTACTATTCTGTACCAAGAATTTTCCAGGAGTAACTAAAACTATGGATATAAACTTTTGATCCAGAAAAAAAGCCTCTCCAGAGATATAGAAACAAAGTAAGGCCTGGTCAGCACTTAAAAGTTTACTTGTATAACTTATCAGTTAGGGGGGGTGATTTTTTTACCAACATATTTATGCTAGTACAAACCCCAGGTTAGACTCCGGTTATACTGGTATAAAGGTGACATATTAGTATTGCTTATTTTGGTTTCTAATACAGTAATTTTACCACTTAGCATCAAAGCCGTCTAGTATAGACAAACCCTAGGGAAAAAAGCTTACTTAACTTTAAATGACAACCTGCAGGTTAAAGATGTACTTTTTCACTTCTTTTTAATCAGATTGCAGGATTGTTTCTGAGCCTCATATAAAGTATGATAAGATCAGGCCTTTAGTGTTTAGTGACCATGTCCCTTTCATGCAGGTTGCTGATCCAGAGACTGATGACAATATCTATTGTTTTGTTTTTTGTCACCCAAATAGGTCACTGAGCATGCATGACACTGACACAGCTCCTTCAAAAAGATGAAAAATCACAGCTTCCATGTGGTGAGTGTGTCTGATTATGTTATTTTTCTAAGGAGATGATTAAATGACAGTGGGCAATTAGCAGAAAATACAACAAGAAGTTTTAAGTAGTTGTAATGTGCATGATGTAATTAAAAACAAATTTCAGTTAGTCTGTACTGCAAAATCATATTTGAACTATTGAAGGATGTTGAGTGCCATCAGATTATATCTTGCATCCATTTGAATGGTCTGAAATATTTAATGTTATGTTTCCACATAATTCTAATTACACCTCTACCTTGATATAACGCTGTCCTCGGGAGCTAAAAAATCGTACCGTGTTATAGGTGAAACCACGTTATATCAAACTTGCTTTGATCCATCGGAGTGTGCGCCCCCCCCCCCCAAGCACTGCTTTACCGCGTTATATCCAAATTTGTGTTATATCGGGGTAGAGGTGTACTTCTTATTATCTGTCATTTTAAGAATTCCTTCCAGTCAGCATAAAACACTGCTGTGCTTGGAAAACCAAAAGGTTTAATGGTTTTGTTAGGTGTTTTGTTCCTTGTTAATCATCTAACATAGCCCAATTCTGCAAACATTTATGCATGAGCTTAAAATTAAGTTAAGTTCATGCATTAATGTTTGCAAGCTAGGAGCCATAAAGCACATACCAGGGCAAAGAACTGGACTTGACTGGTAGAAGGAAACTGTCCAGTATGGGAGAGGGAGTAAAGGGGGATTGAAATTGAATATCTCTAACATGCTAGCAACTAAGTAAAATTGGCCAGAACCCACAGATCTTGCACTGATTTTGACTTGTTTTTGAACCTGATTCTCATCTTTCCTACTGCTGGCTTCTCTAGATTCCTCTCAGCTCAGCCGCCCTGTTAACTTTGAGGTTTCCTTTCAAGCAGGGTTTTAAGTTGACTAAATCACACGGGGCTGCAGAGTTGGCCAAATAAAATAAAATACAGTTCTGATATGGGTCTGAGGCAGATAGGTTGTTGGTGAGCACTAAATGGCCTAAGGAGCATTTCAAATATAATTAAGTTAGGTGTTTACCCTAAAATATAGTTATGAACTAACAAAATACCACAACTGTGCAATGCTGGAACCAGTCCCTTTCTCAGACCTCTTTAAGCCCTGCTTTCAAATCCTGGCCCCTCAGGTCATGTCTACAGTAGGAAAATGTGTCATGTTAGAAAACATGTTTATTAAAATGTTTTAACTAACATGATTTAAATATGATTTTGCCCAAAATGTGTAGAAGGACAGTCATATTTAAAAATGTTGGGTAATTGTGATCAATCCATTTGTTGCAGACAGTTAACACACTTTTAAACACTACTTGTCCCTGACTACATTAGTGTAAAGTCATGTTTTATGTCATGTTCATTAAAACATGTTAGTTAAATTTTTTCTAGCATGACTCTCTCCCAGTGTAGGCATAGAGAAACAGTTTCTCTCTCTCTCTCAGCTGTCCTGAACCCCTGTACTCTTTCTGTTTGGCTAATTACCATTGCAGTAATCCCTCCATAATTCACTAAGAATAGCTTGTTTCTTTTCTACAGCAGTGGAGATACAGCGCTGTCTTTGTGACACTAGTGTATTAGGACTCTGCTTCTCTCTGATAACAATGAACTTTATTCACAGACAGCAGAACCTTGCTTCTCAAAGTGAGCCTATGCAAAAACAAGGCAGGAAACCCAAAAGACAGTGATTCTGTCACACTGTTTTTTGTCTGAGTTTTAGTGACAGTTTTTCCCCCTGCCCATTCTTGATGCTGTAGGACTATAGGACCAGATTGGACCTGAGCAAACTATGGTTTTAAATTGAGTTTGGATGTAAACAAGAATAATCGGTTCAAAGCATGTCACCAAAAAGAATGAATTCACGGAAAGAGGGATTGTTTGTGCCTTTGGAATACGGGTGTTATCTTATTTAAGGCTTGGGAAATAAAGAAAAAATGGTTAATTGGGCACCAGGTGCAGTAAATAATTGGTTAGAAATGCTTAGTCCAAAAAATATGTGAAAGTCTTCTAAAGGAAAAAAATGTTGAAGAGAGCAGAGTACAGCCCTAAACTCCTTCAGCTAACTGCAGCTAAGGTTCAATAACCAGCAATGACATCACTTGTTTGTTATAGTGTAAGGGGTTCTTTGTCAGAGCTTTATCTTACACCTCCAGATTCATGCAATGTAATTCCCTGGCCTGAGCCTATTTTAAGTATTTTTGCCAATGCTTATAACTGTATGGTTTCTAGGGTATATAATATAGGGGGTGTGTGGGGGTGGGGGTGTGTATGTTTATACTGTGTTTGTATTTTGGATGTAACCAACACTAAGTGGTCTTTGGACTAATAAAGAAATGCTTGTGTGGAAACTGAGTCATGGGAAACCTTATTAATGTTATCAGGAAATTATTTCCAGCAGAAGCAGTGGAATATTGTTTGTGACCTCCCAAGTGTTCAGTGTCAAGAATTCACTGGTTATCTCAATAAATATTCCACTTTCCATCTCCAGCTATATATACTGGGATACATTATTCTGCTGGTAAAAAGTTAGTTGAGCAGTTTTTTTTTCTTTCCCAATATCACAATCTTGGATTATGGGTCAAGATGGCAATGCTGTAAGGGCCTGCATTTTTGCAAGCTCCTGATCCTACAACTGTACTGACACGTAGGGTGACCAGACAACATGTGTGAAAAATCGGGACGGGGGTGGGGGGTAATAGGAGTCTATATAAGAAAAAGACCCAAAAATCAGGACTGTCCCTATAAAATCGGGACATCTGGTCATCCTACTGACACGTATACATGTGAGTAGTCTCTTTAGAAGGCCCAATGGGGCTACTCACATGTGTAAAGAAAGTTAAATCAGTATGTCAGTCTTGCAGGAACAGGGCCTAAAAACAGATGACAGTGGACAAGCCCTGCAATGTGCTTTTCATGGCTAGTCCTCTGACATGGAGGCTCAATGGCCTCAGCAGGGCATTGTATCAGCATAGGGGTCTAGCCGCCTGAAGCTCAGTTCAGTAATGGGGTCTAAGGCATGTCATGTGCATGTTGTATATAAATTGAAAATCTTTTCAAATTGTTTTCCAGTTATACATACCAGATTGTAGTTTGCCTTTGGTAAAGAATTAATAAACCGGTTTTATTGTACAATTTCCAGAAGAGAATTGAAATTTAAGTGAAGTGGCTGCCAGTAACCCATTTGTCATACAGCCTCACTGAATCTAGTTTTTCTTAATAACGAATCCAAGCATTTTCACAAGACAGGCTAGTGGTCTCAGCCCATCACTTAACCAAGCTCTAATAGTAAAGAGCTGTAATGAGATCTTGTAATAATAAATACACTACAGTATATTTACAAAACAAGCACTTACATTTAGAAAACACAAACTATAAACTAAAGTAAATGAACAAAGGATCTGAAGAAGTGGGTTTTTACCCATGAAAGCTTATGCCCAAATAAATCTGTTAGTTTTTAAGGTGCCACTGGACTCCTCGTTTTTGTGGATACAGACTAACATGGCTACCCCTCTGATACTTGACTTTCTGGTGTAGTAGCTTTAGTGTTTTTGAATTGTCTGTTCACTCGCACACTTGCTAATTCATAAAATTTCATAGTCCATAATGGGTCTGTCAGTCATGAATGTGAGTTAGAAAGGTTCTACTGTTTTAGCACTGACCTGTTCCTCCCTTCTTTCCCATAAAATTCTCTAGAAAACTTCAAGTACTATATATCCTCTTGTATGAGAATGTGACGTAATTAAGACAACCTAAGCCCTGGTGTAGACACCGCTAGGTCAATGGAAGAATTCTGTCAGTCTAGCTACCGTCTCTCAGAGGTAGATTTACTACAGTGACTGAAGAATCCCTTCTGTTGCTGCAGTGTCTGTGCTACAGCGGTGCAGCTGTGTTGCTGTAGCATTTCTAGTGTAGACCTAACCTGTGACTGGCCTTGCGGGGAGAGGGCAGCAGGGAGAAGGAGGCTCCTGACGCAGGCTCTGGAGAAGGTCAGACCCCAGGCAGATTGCCTGGTAGTAAACTGGGCCTAAAGATCCAGCTTGTAAGGAAACTAGCTTGGATTGAAGAGTAGCCCCAGAGAGGTGGAAGACACTTTTGTTTTATTTCCTTTGATACTGTTGTTTAACAGTGCCCTGCCTGGGGGTGCTGAAAGAAACAGTTGCCTGTCAAGAGTCTCTCTGAAGAGAAGGTAGGCCTCAGGCTGAGATTGCTGACACAAAGGTTGTTAAAGAGAGAGATTTCAAAAGTCCTGACAGAGGGGGATTAAAGAGGAAACGAGTGGGGTGAGTTGTGCCATGGGAGTCCACTAGGAAGTGCTTTGGAGGCAGACCTTGCCACAAGGAACAAAACATACATTTAAATTCTTATCCTTTATGCAAAGCTAGTTAACAACCTTTACAGAGGAATGGATGCAAGAGAAGACAGATCAAATCCTTCCTTTGTCTAACATTCACCAATACAGCTGGCCTATGACAGCCCTACAAGGTATGTCTACACCACATCTGGGAGCGAGCTTCCGAACCCAGGTCCACCAACTTCTGCTAGCGCACTAAAAATAGCTGTGTAGATGTTGTAGCTCCGGATCTCAAGTTCCATCCCAAGCTGCAATGTTGAAGCAATGTCTACACAGCTATTTAATACACTAGTGCAAGCCATGCTTACACAAGTCTGTGGATCCAGATGAGGAGGCTCACTTTCAGATTCAGTGTAGACATACCCATAGTGTCTGATTAGAAGAGGTAGCCTGGTACCCTGTTCCTCTTTGAACAGGCTTTTTTATGGCCAAAGCATGTCCAGTTTGAAGATCTACTGACAACAGCCCCTTCAATTCTGTGGGTGCCCTGCATACAGTCTTAGCAAACCTCCCTGAGGCCTGCTGGGAGTGGTTCCACTACGTTTTAGGCCATCTGTAAAACCCTTCTTGGCAAGTCCTTGGCAAGACTTTTTTCCCTCTGCAGAAGAATGACCACAATACATACAAACCCCCACAAATCTGGTGGAGTTAAT